GGTATACCTTACTGTCGACGCTCTGTCCAGCCGTAGTAGGATGTAACAGATGGAGTACTTCTTTACCAGTCTACGGATAGTGAAGTATTGCCCGAAGAATTCTAGGTATGCAACGTGTAGGGTCACGGTGTTGCAGTGGAGGACCGTGTGAATATTCCTTGAGGATAGAGGAGACCTTTGAAGAGGGGGAGATTCCGTGTGCAAGGCGCGGAGTCGTTTACGAATCCTAAAAAGTGGACCATCCACTCTGAAATACGATGGTTCCAGTCGGACCTCGGAGAATCATGGGTGTTGACGAAGTCTTCAGTTCCCTGAATCGACCCGAAGGAGACTGTCTAGGAAGATAATGCCTCACCTTCCCCACACGTAATTACACAGTGGTTTCGGTAGTTTAACAAAGCCCCCAAGGATCCGAGCTGAGGGATCAGGTGAAGAGCTGAGGTTGATCGTGTCACAGGAAACCTAGATAGCGTCGCCAAGAGTGATGGAAAAAACGACCACCATGACATGTTTTCAAATCCAGTTTTGCAAGCCAGTCGTCTACGCAATTAGGTTTGAATGCCTTCCACCTAGATGTGATGGAATCTTCTGTGCGTGTAGTAGAAAGTAAATCTATGGTACCCTAGGGGCGCTTCCCTGAGGAAACGGGACCCAGCGCATCTGTCTGTTCTGTGTTCTCTGTCCGATCATCTGGAGCACCAGAGGTTGTCTCTCTATATGGGTAATAGAGTTAGCGATAGCAGGGTACCGGGTTAGATGTCCCGAAGTGGTTGGCGACAACCTCCGCTGTTGACCGGTCCCAAGGAACACCCCTTATGGAGGTAACCACGGTCTTGATGAGGGCAGTAATTGGTGTGCCTGGGGTCCCAATGATTTGATTTTCACAGTGAGAAGACGCCAGCGTCCATAGGAAAGCATTGAGAATGCTTTCCTATGGACTGGCTGAATGCGCATGCGGCTCTTGCCGCACATGCGCTTTCAGCTGATGACTACCGAAGGAAGAGGAGAGTCCCCAGCGCCGAGGGAGCCCGGCGCTGGAGAAAGGTGAGTGTTTAACTCCCTTCAGCCTGGCGGGAGTGGGACCCTGAGGGTGGCGGCACCCTCAGGGCACTACAGTGCCAGGAAAACGAGTTTCAATGTTATGGGAGATATTCCTTTAAGCATTATTTCCTGGAAATCTTGTCCAGCAGTTAACAGAGGCTGTAGCAGCATGTCTACATACAGTAGCACAGTGTATTAAAATATTTAGAACGGACCTCACCCCAGGTGCTGGCCACGTCCCTGACAAAGAGCCCTAACCTGTGTTCAAACAGTCAATACAAAGTTATGGGAGATAGTCCTTAAGCAGTATGTCCTGGAAATCCTGTCCAGCAGTTAACAGAGGCAGCAACAGCATATCTCCATTCAGTAATACAATGCACAGTGCAGGCCACAGTCCTGACAGACAACACTAATCCATGCTCTAATAGTTAATCCAGGGTTATTTTTCAAGATTCTTTTGTTTCAGGTGTTGTACCGGAGGATTGGAGGAAGGCAGATGTTGTTCCTATATTTAAAAAGGGTTCAAATCCTTGCCTGGAAATTATAGACCTGTGAGCTTGACTTCTGTAACTGGGAAAATATTTGAAGGGCTATTAAGGGATAATATTCAGGAATTCATTGGGAAGAACTTTGTTATTAGCAATAATCAGCATGGTTTTAGGAAACAAAGGTCATGTCAAACTAACCTAATTGCATTCTACGAAGAAGTAAGTAGAAGTATAGATCAGGGTGTTGAAGTGGATGTGATCTACTTGGACTTTGCCAAGGCATTTGATAAGGTTCCTCACAATAGGTTAGTCTTCAAACTAAAAGAAATTGGTCTAGATGAATATTCCTGTTCTTGGGTAGAACATTGGCTTAAGGACAGAGTACAACGAGTTGTAATTAATGGTAAATTTTCAGGCTGGACAAAAGTGGTAAGTGGTATCCCTCAGGGTTCTGTTTTGGGACCACTTCTATTTAACATATTTATAAATGATCTTGAAATAGGCATTGAAAGCCATGTATCAGTGTTTGCAGATGACACAAAACTTTGTAAAGTAATAAAATGTGAGCAGGATATTGCTTTGCTGCAGAGAGATTTGGATAGATTGGGGGACTGGGCACTAAAATGGCAGATGAAATTTAACATAGAGAAATGCAAAGTTATGCACTTCGGGGTTAAGAATGCACAAGCAACTTACACACTAAATGGTAGTGAATTAGGGATAACCACATACGAGAAGGATCTGCAGTTGCTAAGGCCAGTAAGATTTTGTCATGTATAAATAGGGGCATAAATTCTCGGGATGAAAATATAATTTTGCCTCTTTATAAATCGCTGGTAAGACCAAACCTTGAATATGCTGTGCAATTTTGGGCGCCTGTTCTAAAAAAGGATATCATGGCACTGGAGAGGGTCCAGAGACGAGCTACAAAATTGATAAAAGGAATGGAGCATTTTAGTTATGAAGAAAGGTTAAAAAAATTAAATCTGTTTAGTTTGGAAAAACGGCGCCTGAGAGGGGATATGATAACTTTATACAAATATATTCGGGGCCAGTACAAACCTTTATCTGGAAATCTATTCATAAACAGGGTTATACATAGGACACGAGGTCACACATTTAGGCTGGAAGAAAGGAGATTTCATCTAAGGCAAAGAAAGGTTTTTTTTACAGTAAGAACAATAAGGATATGGAATTCTCTGCCTGAAGAGGTGGTTTTGTCAGAGTCCATACAGATGTTTAAACTGAAATTGGATAAATACTTACAAAAACATAACATACAGGGATATAATTTCTAATTAGTGGGGTAATAGCTGCTTGATCCAAGGAGACATCTGACTGCTATTTTGGGGTCAAGAAGGAATTTTTTCCTAGTTTGTGGCAAAATTGGAAGTGCTTCAGACCAGGTTTTTTGCCTTCTTTTGGATCAACAGCAACAACATTTGTGAGGAAGGCTGAACTTGATGGACGCAAGTCTCTTTTCAGCTATGTAACTATGTAACTATGTAACTATGTTATGGATGAAATCCCACTAAACAGTTTATATAAACGGCCTAATTCAACATTACCATGCAACCCTAGTAAGACTCCAAAGACTCTCAAGCACCAGAGAAGTGAGAACAAGGAGAGGAGAGTGCAGAAACCAAGAATAAGGTAGAAACACAATAAATAACAGAAAAAAACACAGATGGACACAGTACGGAAGCACAGCAAGAACAAACAGCAAAGTATTTAAAAAAAATAATACAGATACAACCTCAAAAACGACAATATAAACATAAAGTAATGGAAAAGAGTAATACTCTGACCAGTCTGCTTGATGGAGCAGCAAAGAGAGAGGAAGTGATGAGGTTACTATGCCTTATGTACATCCTACTCTCTTGTGATTGTTTTTTTCCTATGGGTTTCTTTGCTGCTGTGTGGAGCTAGTAAAGAGAGATTATGCGAAAATACAAAGCCTCCTGTTATTATTAAAATTAAGATTATTAGTACACTAAAGCTAGCATAATCTTCAATTGTCTCTCCAACATGGCAGATATACCCCATTTGTAATACCTTGGGTTGTCTACTTTTGCAAATGGTATGCCATCATGGGGGTAACTCTCATTCCTGGGCTACCATATGGTCTCAAAGGCAACGTAACCAATCTGGCGAATTTCAATGTGAAAAAAACTGAAAAATGTAACATGCTATATTTGACCCTGTAACTTCCCAAAACACCATAAAACCTGTACATAGGGGGTACTGTTCTACACGTGAGACATCGCTGAATACAAATATGTGTTTTGTATTTAGTAAAAGCAAACAGTATTATGACATTCACAGTTAGAATGTCACGTAGAACTAAACATTTTTTTAAAGTTCTTATTTTCTCCCATTTTTTTATATTTTATT